TCCTTATTTTCGCAATTCGAATCTCCATTGTTTGTATTGTAGAAGTTGTTTTAAAGGCAGGCGTTGCTTTTGGCATGTTAGTTTGTTTCACATAGGTACATATTATTTAAATCATAAGTAACAAGATTATTTGGACAATGCATATATCGCAAAAATACCTGAATGATCTATGTAGAATTTCGAATGTCATGTGGCAAGCAATATTCCCACACTCAAATCAAATAAAGGAACCATGCCTTATAAGTGTTGCCCTGAGATAGTGATAAACATAAGGAAATTACTCATAACTTGAAGATGCCGCAACCGATTTTGATTTTTTTTGCAGCGATGAAAAGGCGAATGATGTCAAAATAAATCTGTGATGAAAAATACAGGGTGTTCCATTTGAAAAATTCTGATGAACGTCGTCTGAATCTTACAATATTCAGAATGTAAATTTTAGCACCCTGTAAAGGATAATCTCGCAAAATTACTGAATTGGTGTACATGAGACCTTGCTACTACTGTATGCCAAAAATATATTCAAAATGTCAATGAATGAATATACCATACCCAATTCAACATGACCCTTCAATAATAGTAAAATTGGGTTCATCAATTATAACTTGGCAACGCCGCAACCAAATTCAATTTTTTTACAGCGATGTAGAGCTAAACCTTAGCGGAATAAATTTTGAATAAAAAATACTGGGTGTTCTACGTCTCCGAGTCCTCCCGCTTTTATAAAACACCCAGTATTGTAGAAAATATATTTGAAATAGAACCTTTAATAACGGAATAAATTTGTTTTCAAACGTTTCTCTCTAGTGATAATGGATTTCGAGATATCGAAGAATTACGCACTGAATGGACACACTGTATACACGGCGTCCAAGATGAGAATCTCCTATCGAAAACGATAATAATCAGTACGACGGTGCGGTTGTATGTAGAGAGATGCTCGAACGATGAACGAAAAAAGGACCATTCATAGAAAAGTATAATGTCTGAAAGTTTGAAAATTTAAAAAACTCGTTAATCAGATTTTCAGTTCCGTTTTTTTCTATGCTCCACTTTGCTGCTGACGAGGTGCTGTGAAGACATTCTTACATGATCCTGTATATATTCCAGTTTTTGTATGTAAATTTTTCGAAAAATATTACGGACATTCAATGTTCAATGTTCAAAATTCAATTATTCGTTGATAAAATGCATTATTTTGAAGAAAAATATACAGTGTGTCCCAGCTAAAACTTGTGACCCCCCTAGTCTCCGATGTCGTTAAAAAAATTGCAAATCGCTCGGACAGGTCGATCTGTTTTAGGACCATCTATAGAAATAAACTTGGGCTGCCTCAGCTTAGGAGAACGGTGCGAGCTGAACATTTACAGGGTTATGAGGTAGCCTCTCCTAGGCTTTGTCTGTGCACTCGACTTAGACATAGTCTAACTGAGGTTAACTCTGGCTCAGCAATACCACATGATTATGATCACAAATCAACGACTACACTGACATGATATATTTTATATTGACTGGAAGGAATCTATACCTTTTTGTAGCTTGTCTGGTGGGTGTACGCAGAAAGTGCCTGAAAAGTTCTGAAGAATCCGAGTATACAGGGTGTAATTTAATTGATGGCTGAAAATATAGGATTTGGTTCCTTAGCTAATTTTAAGAAGAGAAGTTCATATGAACATATTCCCTGAACCTCTTCACTTTCGAACTATAAGGTGTTAACATTTTATTTTCTCTTTATTGATTAAAGTAATTTCCACAATGTAAAAAACTGTCACGTTTATGAATACTTGTCAAAATAGGACCGCAACGTAATCGATCAAATGTCATTATTTCAAATACAAAATAGAGGAAATACCATCAGTTCCACTTATTTATAATTATTCAGTGTCAAATATTAAAAGGGTAGTTATTTAATACTGAAAAGTGAAGAAACATATTCATAAATTATTCAATTCAGCGCTTCTAATTGTTTTATGTTAATAGATTCCTACACGAATTACCTTGCTAAATGAACTTTAATAACACGAACGGTAATTGAAAAAATTGACATTCATAACAAATGTTCGAAATTATAACCATTATTTTCCAAACAAAGATATCTTTTACATCAGTTGCTTCTAAGACATTTCTGAGGTAATACTATTGAATGTTTCGATAAAACTGTATCTTATTAGTTCTTTTTCGTTATCAAAATTATTTGCGTGAACAAAGTTTTCAACGTATCCCCAAAAAAAGAAATCCAGTGTCCAATCAGGCGATAGGCGAATCATGCTAAGGAGTACGCCCTCTACTGTTGTCTAATATAACTAACGTATGGGCCATTGATTGCTTTGTTTACATTAGTTTGCGTGTATTTTGTATGAGAAGTAGTTGTGTTTTAATTGTCTATAATTTTGTTTGAGAACTTCTATAAACGTTTAAAAACATGAGTCATTATTGTTGTGTACCTGATTGTTCATCTTGAGCAAAAAAATCCCGAGTATAGCTTTCATTCCTTTCAAAAATCAGGACAGGTATTTGAAACTAATAATTTGGGAAACAAGGAAGTGATCGGTAGGAGAAAGGTGTGGATTCATAACTTGAAGATTGAAAAAAGTGTCTGCACATATTGAGATATTGTTTTTTACACTTCGATGAAAATTTACTCATGTAGGTATATTTTCAAATGTATGTCTAATATAATACCTACTTCTTGAGGTGATGGTAAAAAAACAAACAAATTTTAAACTGATTATATCTTTACTCCATGAACAGTAGAATTTTTAAACAGTAAAGAATTTTATCAATCAGGGGTTTGATGATTATGTTGTAAAAAGTCAAGTAGAAACTGTATACCTAAATTCACCTTCGAAAGAACATCTTATTCCCAAAAAGTATGCTGAATTTTCTTTTAAAAATATCATATCATATATTCGAATTGGAAATCAACATCCCACAAAGGTTTTCGTGAGAATTCTTGTTCAATAATGATAAAAACTTACAGCTTTTGTATGTTGGTATATATGAAGTTCAACTAGAGGTAGGGAGGTTATCTAATGTTGAACAGAGATGATATAGTCCTCAATCAAAACACAGTAGACCGCTGGAAAATTCAAAGTTCGAAAATAGACAAATAACAAAGCTGAACGTTTGAAAACTCAAAACGAAATGAACATAAACACCGTTACCAAACAATGTAAACAATCCGCCAATGGCCCATAGATTAGTACCGAAAATCGCCGTTCTGGCGCTACGATCTTAATCTCAGTCGCCTATCGCGCCGGCCAAGGGACTGTAGAATAATTTTTGTTATCAAGGTAATTCATGTAAGAATCATGAAACAATGTGAAGCGCTGCATTGAATAATTTATGACATATTTTTTCTTTATTATTCAGTATTAAATAACTACTCCAGTAATCCATCAATGTTCGACACTAAATCATCAGAAATAAGTGGAACTGATGGTATTTCCTCTTTGAAATTGAGAAAAAACAAGATGGCTAAAACTAGGTCGATACACATTTAAACCAATTTGAGTAATACATGACTGAATTCAGAATGAAGAAAGCTATCAGAATATGTGAACTCGTAGTCAGGAAAAAGTTAAAGATGGTTCTACGAATACGAAACGTCGCGTAGAGAAATTAATATAACCTAGTTGAATCTCATCAAAAGTTGGTATGGAAGGGTATTTTTAGTTTTTATGTATCTCTAATGATGACGGAGAAAAAAAAAACCAAAAATTAACTTTTATAACTGAAAAAATATAAACAATTTTGAAATTTTTCGAAGGCCGTTGGTATGGCCCTTGGAATGCGCAACTTTTTTGTATCTCCTCCCGTTTCCAAGATTCCCATGCTGTGCAACTTTATCTGGTTCATACCGTATATGTTATAAATTTTTTCACATAAATCATTTATACGCATGCCACTGTGTACATTTTTTTATTGCAGTGATTTCTAATAAAAAATAACCAAGGAAGAAGATATGGTCCGAATTGAGAAATTTCTGACAAATAGGTACTAACCAGGATATCGTATTAATATTATACAATTCAACGCCTGTATAGCTCCTGTACGAACCCTAATCGAATGTATATAATATACTCTCAATATTCTCAACATTTCTCGACTCAGAATCAGCCATAGACATATAAAGAGAGGAATCAGCTGTCTTGGATGTTGTATCAGAGTTCCAAATGCAACTTGATGCTAATAAATTGTGTGGACTGTCAATCATGAAATTCTTCTGCAACTATTATTTCGTGTCGGAGGCTCTGTTTATAGGTGGTTTCGAAATAATTTGCGTGAAAGAAAAGAGTATGTTAAATTGGAGCGAGTGTCGAGTAGAAGAAATAATATGTGGTCCCTCAAGGATCGATCTTAGGTCCTGTTTTATTTCTGATATACACTTCTCCAAGGAATTAACGCACCACCAAAAAGAAGCCAAAGTTAAGGAAACATTTTCGTCAAAAGTACTTGTCGGATTTGGACGTTTTTTGTTGTGAATGACAGGTTATTTCCTTCTGAACATTGGTATGCAAACTGTATTTGCATAAGAACCTCTTTTTATGAATACCGGGTGTAGCTATTATATCGTGTTTTTTTCATACAATATTCAAATCCTACTACATTTTAAATATAATGTGATACATTTTGTTTTTTTAATGTTCCCTGTTATAAACATATTTGTCAATTGTTTCTTGGGAATAATAAAGATGATGATAATGATTGAATTGAATCACCGCAACATTAGCCATTGTTTGTTGTTGTTGTATTAACTTACTTTACCTCCTGTTCGTGTATTGATAGCTATCATTACATGATTGTTGCATACAATACTATAGTACGCAACGAACTTGCAGTGGCTATTAATAGATGAACTGCATAAAATACTTTTTTTTTTAGGAAGCGTAGATCAAACACTATGCGAGCTCGTTGATCAAACTGTCTCTACTACTAAAATCAATTATCTTCTTCTGAGATAAGTTCAGTAAGGTGTTAGAAATAATTCAAGAAGCCTTTTCATTACCAATAAGTAAAAAAATATATTCAGATCTCATAACGAAATAACACTTCATGTACAATATCAAAAACTAATAATAAGCACCCCAGCCAATATACATTTGGCATAGGTTATCAACACTAACAGCTTCGTTTATAAGATAATTTGTTTGTCCTTCGACCGACAATGGCGTCACTATCGTCCTGTACATAGTTTTCACTTTACCCTGTAGCCGATGTTCGATATTTCTAATGTGATCGACAGCCTATAAAAAGGATTGTGAACATATAAAAACATAATATTAATAAAATAATAAGCTCTACTTGAATAAGTAAATATGGACAAAAGTGAATTTTGTTTACAAATTGAAAGAATCTCTGATAATCTTAAAACCTCAAGAACTCATCATCAACGTCAATATCATCCTGGAGATGACCCGTTAGACAGTTTAGATATTTAGCCGCCATTGCCTGGAGTAATAATTGATTTCAAAATGTTTACCAGCAAATTGATAACTGGAAAATTCTGAATGTTCTTTTTGGAATTCATCATTTCTCTTAGAAACAAAATTTCCCAATTTCTCAATCATGATGAGTGTTTTATTATTGTTTATGTACTCATAATTATCAATCACGTTATGGTGAAGTTTCCTTGAGGTACGTAATTTTTCAATACCTGAATTGAATTTACCTCGCTAATTTTTGCAATAACCGGAAAAGTCTAACCTCAAAAACCCACAGAATGTTTACCGTGGATCTACACGTGGATCCATGACCATGAATTAAATTCTGGTTATTTTCAACTATTTTGAACGCCATTTCAAATTAAAGCTTGCTTCTATTTTTTGTTAAACTGTACCTACTTGAATATACCTACATGTGATATTTGATAGGAACGTAGAAAAGATTTTTTTCTGTTGTCGGAATTTTGCAATTTGAGGTACTTAATGATGTTTTACATAGATGATTCTGTATAGCTCCTGTACGAACCCTACTCGAAGGTATATAATATACTCTCAATATTTCTCGACTAGTGGTCATGTGACACAGAATTAGCCATAGAGAGTATCTTCTATCTTAGAGAAAATTATCGGAATAAGAAAGATTCTTGCATGTTTTTTTTCTATGAGTAGAAAACACTCAACAGAGGTTTTGAGTTCGACTCCCATACAGGGTAGGGAAGTTTTTTCATCTTCCGTTGTCGCTCGAAACAAAGGCTTTCCATCATCTTCACCATTGAATATTATACTAGCCTACTAGCATTTCCATTCAGATCGATCTGACATTCGATGGAGGAAAAAAGGGTGAATTGAAAGAGAAAAATTTGCTCAAGACCATACCAATGAAAGAAGAATTACGGAATTTTGCGGGGTTGAATTTATAGTTCATGGCTAGTTCTGACAAAACCACAAGGTGTCCTAGAGATGTTCCATATGTGAGGCAAGTACCGCCATTGAAGATGTAAATTGACATCAACATCGCTTTGGAATGAAAATATTAGTATAAAAGTTTTATAAGACACGAAGCAAATAGTAAAGCTTACATAGTATTGCATAAATATCGTGGTCACCAGCGAATTGAATTGAAAATGTCCAAACAACTGTACTACCTATTTTCAAGGCAAAAATGATTGATTGTTTTTTATGTTTAATTATAATATCCAATTATTAAAAAACGTTCTATTACAATAATAGTTTAACATTTCTTTTGAAGGATATATTGAGCATGTCTCTATCGATCTAATTAGAACATAGGAAATCGCACTATTTATTATATGTTTCACAATTAATAAACGGAATTTCACAAATATCACACATTGCTTCCATTTGCCTAGATATCGAGTATGTATGCGTTAGTTTGGATTTCCTGTTCTTATCTTTTTTCTTTCAAACACTATCAAAATTACATGTTTGGGGTCATCTGAAAGTGAGAAATGAGCCTGAGGAATTTAAATTCCCTCAAGATTCGTCATTCGGCACGTTTCTTAGTACCGTAACAATGGAATCATATTAATTTCAAATAAAGAGAATTCCCTGTATGACTGTTATCTGACAGTTCTTTTATGCCCCATGTTCACTTCTCAATGATTTGTGTATGATGAAAATAAAAAACATGATAAAAATCCCATAGTAACTTTACCTCTTCATTTGTTCTTTCAGCAGTATGCAAGCTCGTCAACGCAGGGACATTTCTGGTCCACGAGACCAAAGGGTCGTATACGAATGGGGCAACTATGGACATCAAGGTGTTCGCATTCATTCGTAGCACTCTCAGAGTACAAGCGCACGACTTCCTGAAGACACCCTCGACTCCCAAAGGCCCCATAGCCGCCACCATGTTGTGCGTCAACCTGAATGGGACTCTTTCGGGCCAGTCGAATTTTTCACCTACAAATCCGAATTCATTCGATTTTATGGAAATCATCGATTACAAAGGAAAAAAAATCACAGTCAATTATCACTATATTGAAATGAGAAAAATATTTTATTCAGCAATAATGAATTACGCAGGGTATAACATGAATTTATAGTCATGTTGTAGCCATCTAGTGGCAAAGCTCTAAGGTAGGATACAGAGATCGCAACACACACTGTATGGCGCTGCCATCTATAGTCACAATTACAGACCCCTACGTCTATACATCAGCAGACCGAGAGCGGTCAATGAGACCTGGTGGGTCGAAACAGTACTGTCTCGCTCCTGCTGACAATTGGAGCAACTCTGTTCATTCTGGATCTAGCAGTTGAATAGGCGGTGGAAAAATTCCACTCAAATATGTCAGGTAGTACCATCTGTCAGCAGAGTGGTTTACTTGTAGTACCACTCCGTAGCGTATAGACGTAGGGGTCTGTACGTGTGACTATAGATGGCAGCGCCATACAGTGTGTGTCGCGATCTCTGTATCCTACCTTAGTGCTTTGCCACTAGATGGCTACAACATGACTATAACTTCTTGTTATACCCTGCGTCTTCCTGGATCTCTTAGTTATGAGAATAATAAATTATTCGAATCCAATTATTGAAAATTCAATTTACCAATGATTTTGAGAAAGTTGGAGGTTTTATTTATTGAAACGAACTCAAAATGCATCCACTGTACTTACTGATTTATACTCTTATTACTCTTATTATGAGATACGACAGTAAAAGTTGCATTTACCGGGTGTCCAAAGTTATCGTATACAGGCATTATCTCGCATATTTGACAAGATAGTTGAAAAATTCAAAAACTTTATTGAATGGCATTGAAAAATTCAAAAACTTTATTGAATGGCATTGAAGTACCTTCCTAATGACATAAAAAGAATCCACATTCGACAGTTCTCTGGCAGCTACCCCCCACATCTCATTTTCAATTGTCATTGGAAATTACGTGTCACTCAATTTGGAATACAATGATAGCGTATACTTGGTATTTTTTTATTGATAACAAAAATATCAACATTTTGTGACTCGTTTCAAGTAACTCAATTATCCTTATAAAAATTAGTATTGTCTCCGCTCATGTTTTTTGTTACAAGAAGCCGGTGCACTTGCTGTGATTTTTAGTTAATTTTTTGGTTCGCATAGAAGTTATTTTAGTTGAAATTCATACTTCATTAAATGTTGCTGTTTTTGTTATAATAATAAAATATACCAAGTATATTGTATGTGTATTCCTTATAGGATGGCACGCAATTTTCAATGACAATATACAGGGGGTGCCATTTGAAAATAAAAAGTGTGGAATAGATATGTCATGAGGAAGGTATTTCAATGCAGTTTTTGAATGTTTCAATTATCTTGCCAAAATAGAGAGAAATTGCCTGTATACGATAACTTGGGACACCCGGTATATACAAGCGGATTTCAAAATAAGTACATTATATTGAAAACAGCAATATGATACAGTTACGTCAGCATTGTAGCAGTGTAGTACTTTAAACGAAAAAAAGGTGTCTTGCCCCAAATGAAGTTTCCACTCATATGATGTTCGGTATTGAATGTGATAATAATATGTTAATTCTTTTTCCCCTCAGTACACCACAAAACTTGACATGACATGACAGTGCGAGCGTAAAGTATGGAAACATGAAGATATCTTTGGCCACCCCTAAATCATGTTTATCTGTCGAAAAGAAGCAGACTTTTTTAATCTTCAAAAAGTACTAAGTGCCCAATTACCGTATCTTGATATTGATATCAACGAATGCAATAAATTCATAGTTTCTTAAAATCAATGGTAAATATTGGCCATTAACAGTTTTAATGCTACATTAATAATAAAAAACTGTAACAGAAAACTGTAAAATATACAGGTTGTCGCCTTCAAAAATAAACATATTGTTCTTATATCTCAGTCACTGGTCCATCTAATGTTCTTCATGTCTCCATACTTTATGGGCGCATTGTTCACTGAGGAAGAATAAGTTTCATGATATGCTTGGCTATTCATGAAACCATGGATTTTCACTATAAGACTAGGATATATGTATACATATTATTCAATATTAAGATACAGTTAGGAATTTAAATATCGACTTTGTTTTGTGTGTTTGTGTTTTTTTTTTTTGAGAAAACGAATATCCTAAAGGACTGATTTGTATTGCTGAAAGCTAAAGTTGTTTTTTTCCTATAGTTGTCTCTGTTCATAGGATGATGAACACAGAGGAAATCATAGAAAAATATCAAGTTCAGCAGGTAGAGCAAGCACAAACGAACATACCTATACTGTCTATACATTTTGTAATCACTTGTAATTCGTCGATTTTCCTATTAGTAGATAACTCATTATTTGGAAAAATTTACCTTTATTGAATAAACAGTTGAAGTCCACGTGCATTACGTCACCGCAAGTGGAATCTAGTAAAATATTTTCACCGTGGCGATCTCCCAACCCTAGAATATACCCTGCCATTGACATAACGGCAGTAGTTCTTACATAAGCAGTTCTAGCAGTTAACCAGCTCTGGAAAATCAACAGGCAATTTATCCAATACATAATATCGAGGCTAATATATCAGAACGGCGTAAGCTCCACTTATGTAGGTTCACAACAGATATAACAAGATTTTTCAGACTATCACCATAAATAAAATGAACCAATAGTTCAATGAGTTTCAGAAGATGGTATTTCCCATTTTTATGACAATATTGGCATATCCCTATGTGATATCCTCCAGGTCGATATTAATGAATAGTGAGACAAAAAGGTTCTGAAATAAGTGTATCAAAAAAATCGAATTCCTTTGTTATATTTTCATGTTGTTTTCAAATTTATCGAATTCATTCAGCAAACAGTACGAATCCGTTCTGAAGTTTGAGGTGAAGGAATGTACAATGTGAAGCTTGAACACGACTGATATACGAATCTTAACGGTATATCACTTCAAAAGGGTATATCGGCATACGCCTTTATGATTCCAAATGTTGATATATTTCTAGCTTACAGACAGGAAATAAGAGTCCATACGCCTGTATATCACTTCTTTAACGCACAACAGGAGGATATATCGGCATACGCCTTTATGATTCTAAACGTTGGTAGATTTATAGCTTACAGATAGGGCGTAAGAGTTCAGGATATATCGGCATACGCCTTTATGATTCTAAATGTTGTAAGATTTCTAGCTTATGATAGGGCTTAAGAGTCCAAATGCCTGTATATCACTTCTAGAACGCACAACAGGAGGATATATCGGCATACGCCTTTATGATTCTAAATGTTGGTAGATTTATAGCTTACAGATAGGGCGTAAGAGTTCAGGATATATCGGCATACGCCTTTATGATTCTAAATGTTGTAAGATTTCTAGCTTATGATAGGGCTTAAGAGTCCAAATGCCTGTATATCACTTCTAGAACGCACAACAGGAGGATATATCGGCATACGCCGTCAATTCCACAATAATTGAAAAAACATTAATTTTTTTTCCATTCCATCATTTTTTTATTCGATAATTACCAAATTGATTATTTATTATGATGAGAAAAAACTTGAAACAGTATCACTTCATTGGACACCAAGAGAACAACTTAACGAACACTAACCACGTTTATTGACCCAACATAAAGGATAGACCAGTCACATGATTTGGCAAAAGGCTGAGTTGAAAGAGCAAATTGACGATATTGAGTGAGTCTTGGGCCTTTCTGGCGATGCAATACTCAAACGTCAATTGTAATCAGATACAGAGCATTATGCCCATAATTTTATATTTTGACATGCGAGCTATTTCGTAAAACTGGAAGAGATTCAATAGCCACTTAGTTTGATAGGATGTTTGTATGTTGTATCTATCAAGTAGTTAGTCGTATCGCATACACATAAGTTAATAGCATTAGATTGGTCATGCCGTCACAGTCAATTTTATCGTTTTCCCACGTTTTCCGTATTGTGAAATATCTTGAATTTCGTTAATTAATGAAAAATACTAAGGGATCTGTGGAAAAAACTGTTTGTGTTGATGAACTGGTTTTGGTTAGTACTTCAAAAGAATGAAACATATCCTTTATAGTATTGTGTTACACGAAACAGAGAAATACAATTAGTATTTTACTGATGTCTTGTTTGGGATGCTCTGTTATTTCGTAATCTGATTTTTAATTTGATTTGATTTGTGCATTCTACCCCTTTACAATGGATATTGGTTATAACTGACTTTGACAGAATCGTTGACCCACTTAGATGAGTCGGAAAAAACTTTCAACACACATGCGCCTGCGCAGCGGTACGCAATAGCGAGAATTTTATGAAATTACAACTATCTTTATCTTACCAACCGCTACTGCAACAGCAGCTTCAACTGCAGCTGCCATTGCGAATTTTATAAATGCAGCTTAATTATTAACTCACCTGAGCATCTGGAAAAGTTTTTCTGAACCATTCACCTAATATAGGAGGATGACGCGGCAGTACTTTCTTTGTGAAAACTTCTCTTTTCTTCTCGAGGGAGTCGCGATTATTACAACAAACCTCTTTTAAATCCTTGCCTTTCATCACCAAACCTTCAAGAGAATGTTCAATACTTGATTCCATTACTTCTATCAGTGTTGCCAATACATAAACTTCAAATCTAAAGCCACTGTCGTTTTCTAGGTCTTTTAAATCAAATTTCCATTCTGAAGAATTTCAGAATGCCTTGTATATAAAAATTAGTAGTAGTAGGAGGTAACGTTGATATGAACAAACATTAAAAATCTTAGGGGATTTGGGTTTAATGCGTTTTTGAACGTAACAAAACGGTTATTATATTGTCATTAATTTCAAAAATTCTATCATTTGACTTAAATTTCATTAAAGGCAAATTCCCTAGGATAAACTATTAATTATTGTTTATTTCTATCTGAAAAATTTTGAGATAGTATCACTTTTAAACTATAAACTCGATTAAAAAAATATTAATCTTGTCAGATTTGGACATTTTTTATTATCAACACTGACACTAATGAATGTCAAATTCCTTAGGATATCTTTTTTTTGTTCATAGTATTATGGCTCTGTGAAATAAGTGATACTCAAAAAAAAAATAGTGAAACTGATGAAAAAAAGTTGAGTCTACATGATTTAAAGACGGTTCGTCGATGTCACGTTGGCCTTCCCTCTTCAAATCCATTTTCTTTGATGAAATCAAGATATAAAATAGCAACAAAACATAAATATAACAAAACGATATTTACTTCACAAATTCGCTAGCGTGAATGATAGCTTCGTTAGATTATTCCCAACACTACCCGTAGTTGTCGCGTGTTAGATTTAGTCTAAAAATCATCTGCACCCCACCCCTTCCATGACTAAACTGAAAATCACTTCACTTCACACTAATTCACACACTCATGACTACCGCTGATCTCGAAGAACTTTCCTAACCTGAAACGTTCGTGAATAATCTGGGTAGGTTGGATCGGGCTGGTGACCTGAGTAAGTTTCCGAAAATGCCTATAGGTACAGTGTTTCCAAACTTAAGTCGGCACTTCTGCTAACTTGGTTATTATTGGAGCGACAAAGTCGGATAAATAGACAAACTAGTTGTATTTTTCAGCTGATTACGATGATGAAATCGAAAGAAAAATCGAATATCGCGTTCACGAGTTATGTCGAAAAGTTCAGTTTGTTCAAATGAGACACTCCGTAGACAATATTCTTAATCGATAGGGAATTCGATTTTGAACAAGAACTGACTCATAAGCTTTTATCCTAAATTCAAAAATGACTAAGCTAAGCATGGTAAGATAAAGTTACGATAAGTAATACCTCGAATATCCTCGAACAACACAACCAGTTTAACAAATTTGCAAAATCATCGATAGCTTAGACATTTTTTACCGGAAAAATACTACTAGTTTGTCAATTTGACAGACTATGTAGCTCCAATAATAACGAAGTTAGCAATAGACAATAGGGGCGCTGTTTCACAACCTATTATATCTACGTTGCAAGTATTCAAGAGCTTTTTTCCTACCTCTCTGTGTGTATAATGATACTAATATAGGCCTGAGACCAACAAGATTGGAAACCCATTCTATCAGTCCACATTCTTCATTCAGAGGTGCTACGGAATATAACCTGATATTCAGCCGTCTCTGTCGAGCTTCCCCTTCTCTTGCCAATAATTGATTCACGATATCATTAAACTCCATTAGTCTGAAATCTTTTCTCAAATCGTCCTTCGGCTTCAACATGTAAACATACCTGAAACACATCCGAGACTTAGAAAGATTATTCCGAAGAGGAATTACTGTTATAACTTTTTTCCATCAGAACCTTTCAATGAAATTTTACGCGGTTTCTGTAAACTCTGCAGAATATTCATTTCATCGTCTATTCCCACAATATGAACATACAAATTCGGAAAGGGGTTGTGCTGGTTACTTGAAAAATCCGGGTTGGGAAGTATCAGCTTTCTGAATTTGAAAGTGGGCATCATTATTTCACTGAAATCGTCTTTTGCTAGTAACCTGAAATGAAAGACAGGTAATTCCAGATGCCTCACATAATCGTTTTCAACTTACCTTGGAAGCGCTCTCAGCAGAGAGTTGACACTAGTTTTATTCACATCTGTAGGAATTTCTTTATTACACAATTCGATTAACTTCTCTGCAAAACTGGTGAAATCTTTTACGAGTTTCGTTAAAGTATTCGTTTTCAATCGAGGATCACACAAAATTTCAGCACATCTTTTCGATCTCAATGAATAACTGGACTTAATGACAGAAATTATCATCCATAAACTTTGTTGTGGGTATTGCTGAACTAGCCTTATTATTATTGATTTCAGCATTATATATACCTAAAAAAATATTTTGAATATTCAATTTCAAGCATAAATCAATACAAAGATCGAAGCAACTGGAGTTGTACTTATTTCAACTGGTACAAACTGTGTGATGGAAATTACAATAGAAAAGACAGAATAAATTAGTGGAGGCACAAAATTCACATGGGCGCCACTTGTGTCACAATTTTGAAGCTATCTAAGAAACACACTTTGACCTGAGTGTAATGAATCACCAAATCTGCCATTGAAGGCGTGTGGTAATCTTGTGTTGGCTTTTATTCGTGATTCAGCCAATTTGAAAAAATCGTGAACGATAACTCCACATAACCATTCCATTTAAAATTCCTGGTAGACCTGGTCAAGGTATTCTGGTAGAAGTTAACAACAGCTAATTATATATCCAAGATACCTATTTTCGCAACTTAGTTGCTGAACGATGATTAAGCACTTGGTTTATTATTGATACGGAAAGGACTCTATTATACAGAGTAGAATGGAATCAATCAAGTTTAATCAAGATGACACAATGCAAGATTGCAGTGTCATAGTGGATGACAGCAGAACTGAATAAAAGTACATTGTCATTTTTTGAGGTTCATTATATAGGAAATCATTAAAAGTACTGTATTGTCTTCCATCTGATAAACCAACAACTGAACTGTATGCTTTAACAAAAACATATTCTTCAGAAGAACTGTACAGATTAGACACTCTGAAAATTTCATACCATATCATAATTAAAAAATTGAAATCTAATATTATTTTGACAAGGAATTTTGAAATTCATAGTTATCAAACTACACAATATAACTTATTTCACCTTGATGCTGCTAGTTCTACACTCGGACAAAAAAGATTCACTCATGCAGCCTTATCTGAGTTCAATAAACTACCAGATGAAATTAAAAACTATAATTACTTTCTTGGTTCATTGATTTAATTGTTTTATTGTGATATCCTGATTTATTATGATCTATTTTTCATGTTCACTTCTACTCATGTTTGTGTAGTAGTTCATAGATATTTATTACTTATTATTTTATAATTATGTTCTTCCTCCAACCAGAACTTCTTCTGACTGGAAGATATTGTTACGACCCTGGCAATCGATCCCAGCTACCTGCGGGAATGTAAACAAGCCATATTTCTTGGAATAGTAATTAGGTGATTCGACGGCTATTGAGATGACTCGAGTAGATTATCGACCTGTTCACGATATTTCGAGTGGAATCTAGACGTTTTATTAGGTAGTATAAATAGTTGTTGTTAGGGACAGGAAGGGAAGTCTTTATTTGGAAGCGTTATAATAACGATCGAAGAAGTGTTGTGAATCGGAAGTGTTTAGTACGAGTATTGTAATTATTGTATAGTAGTGTTCAGAATAAATCGTTTTAAGTGTTATACCGAGTGTTAAGTTATTACGGACCCAGAGTAAAATCGTAACAGTGGTGTCAGAAGTGTGGATTTTTCGAGGACATTTGAAGACGTATGGTGAATACAAGGAGTACGTCATACGACGCGATGGAAGACATTTTGAAATTTATGCAAAATCAGTTCGCGGAACAAGAGGAACGACGACAGAAAGAAAAACAAGAGGAGGAGAAACGTCGTCAAGAGGAAAAATTAGAAGAAGAGAAACGTCGTCATGAAGAAAAATTAGAAGAAGAGCGACGTCGTCAAGAAGAGTTACAGAAAATTCTAGAGCATCAAGAAAAAGAACGAGAACATCAGAAAATCTTCTTCGAACAAATTCTGCATAAAACTGATGTGCAAATAGATGAGTTGAAGACAGATTTCACCAAAATTGACGACAAGCTTAACCAGGAAGTTTCAAGAATAGATTCCATGTTCGATACAATCAAAAGAGATGTAGCGAATCAGATCGCCTCGCTACGAAGTCTAGATCGTCGTGACAGGGTTGCCACATCGGGTTCTTCCGTAAAACCATCAACTTTTGATGGACAGTCGCCTTGGTCTATGTATCGCCGACAATTTGAGGCTGCAGCAAGTGCAAATGGGTGGAGTGACGAGGAAAAAGCTACTGCACTCATTGTAGCTCTGAGAGGACCAGCTTTGGGGATGTTACAGTCGATCCCAGTGGAACAACAAAACCACTTCGGAGATTTAGTGGCTGCGCTAGAACTCAGGTATGGTGACCAACATCGAGAAAAGCTTTACCGGGCTCAGATGAAAAATCGTGTGCAGAAGTCTGGAGAGAGCCTACAGGAGTTCGAAGCAGATGTGAGAAGACTGACTCAATTAGCCTACCCAGAGGCACTAGAGGACTTCAAAGAACAACTGGCGGTGCAGGTATTCATCGACGGGCTGAGAGACTCAGAAATACAGTAGACTCTGAGGCTTACACACTTTAAGAGGAGTGGTGAAGCCCTAGTAAGATCTCTGGAGGTAGAAGCGGCCTTCAACACCTCTAGGCCAAAAGTGAGAGCTGTGTCCATCGAGGAGCCTTCCGAAGACGTGGACCCAGTGGCGAAAATGTTGAGAAAAGTGCTTGAGGAACTCAAAGAAATTAAGAGTGGGTCTAGTAACCAGCGAAATAGATCCTGCTATCGCTGTGGCAGAACTGGACACCTGATAAGGGACTGTAAGGTGAGAGTACCACCACGATCTTCTTCACCTGCAAGGACGCCATCACGGTCGTACTCGCCTGCGAGGACTAGGTCATCTAGTGAGTCCTCAGATAGATACCAGGAAAACTAGAACTAGCCAGCGTATCGGGGCGCATGCTGGCTAGTAATAACGAAGCCCCCAGGGTCATTAACATCAAAAGGATAAGAAGAACAACTGATAGCCTGACCATCAAAGGAAAAATTAACCAAATGGATGTAACCTGCACCATAGATACCGGTGCATCAGTTTCTCTGGTACGCAGTGACATTCTCCGGCCTGGAAGTATAAAACCAACCACTTCCAACTTTGTTCTTCGTACGGTCACTGGAGAAAATGCACCTATACGAGGGATGGCTGATGGAGATGAAGAATCCTGAAGGTCAAATAGCAAGATGGCTGGAAAAGCTGAACCAGTATCACTTCAAGATTAAGCATCGCCCAGGAAAACTACACCAGAATGCAGATGCCATGTCCAGAAGACCTTGTTCGGAAACCTGTAAGCATTGTCTGCGCATTGAACATCGAGAAGGAACCGCTGATGTTAGAAAAACCAGACTTGTGACCGATGATAAGTGGACAGCAGCACACATGAGACGAGATCAGGAGAACGATCCGAATATCGCCGATTTTCTACGTTGGAAAGAAAGAGGAACAGAAAGACCGACATGGAAGGATATCTCGGATAGAGGGCCTGCTTTCAAGGCGATGTGGGCACAATGGGACTCACTATTTGTGGAGAATGGATTATTGAAGCGAGTTTGGGAATCAGCTGATGGTAGATCAACAATCTCTCAGCTGGTTGTGCCCCACATCAGAGTTAATGAAGTTCTGGAAGAAGTCCATGGCGGAAAATCTGGTGGACATTTTGGAGTTAACAAGACACTGAGTAAAATTCGAGAAAGATTTTACTGGGTTCAATGTCGTGACGACGTGGAAAGTTGGTGTAGAAGATGTCCTGTATGCGAAGCCAGTAAGGGTCCCAGAACGAGATCAAGAGCTGGAATGAAGCAATACAATGTGGGTGCACCGTTTGAAAGGATCGCCATCGATGTAGCCGGACCATTCCCTTTGACTGATGATGGAAATAAATACATCTTGGTTGCTATGGACTACTTCAGTAAGTGGGTAAAAGCATACGGCATGCCAAACCAAGAAGCCTCCACAGTTGCCAGGATATTGGTCGACAACATGTTTTCACGGTTCGGAGTACCAATGGAATTACATTCTGATCAAGGGAGAAATTTTGAGTCGAACTTATTCAAAAAGGTCTGTGATCTAATGGGAATCAGTAAGACGAGAACAACTCCACTACATCCACAATCCGATGGCATGGTCGAAAGATTCAACCGAACTATGGAAGAACATCTTTCCAAAGTAGTCGAAGAGCATCAGAGGGACTGGGACAGGCATCTTCCCTTATTCCTGATGGCGTATAGAGCAGCTGTCCATGATTCAACGAAGCTAACTCCAGCTAGTATAGTCTTTGGAAGAGAACTCCGCTTACCTTGTGACTTGGTGTTCGGTTCACCAAGTGTTGAAGAAAAGGAAGTACAAGACTACGCAGATGTGCTCCGGAATGGCTTGATGAAAATTCATGAGACTGCTCGGAAGAGATTGAAATTAGCAAGTGACAAAATGAAGGCACGGTACGATCTCAAAGCCAATTCAGAGGGATTCTTCGAAGGAGATCGAGTTTGGCTGTGTAATCCTCGACGGAAGAAAGGCGTATCACCCAAATTAACACCATCTTGGGAAGGACCGTATACGGTGTTGAAAAGGATCAACGATGTGGTCTACAGAATCCAACGCAGCCCTAGGACAAAGATGAAAGTCGTTCATCTTGAAAGACTGAAGCGCTACCATGGTGAGGAGAGTTCTGTTTTTGATCGGGACGATCAAATTTGAAGAAGGGGGTAAATGTTACGACCCTGGCAATCGATCCCAGCTACCTGCGGGAATGTAAACAAACCATATTTCTTGGAATAGTAATTAGGTGATTCGACGGCTATTGAGATGACTCGAGAAGATTATCGACCTGTTCACGATATTTCGAGTGGAATCTAGACGTTTTATTAGGTAGTATAAATAGTTGTTGTTAGGGACAGGAAGGGAAATCTTTATTTGGAAGCGTTATAATAACGATCGAAGAAGTGTTGTGAATCGGAAGTGTTTAGTACGAGTATTGTAATTATTGTATAGTAGTGTTCAGAATAAATCGTTTTAAGTGTTATACCGAGTGTTAAGTTATTACGGACCCAGAGTAAAATCGTAACAATATGTTTGATGAATAAAATGAATGAATAAAGAAAATTAAGACTAAATATCAATATTCATAAATCATTAGTATACGCCAATAATCCTAAACGCCAAACACGGATAAATGAATGAAACACTGAGTTGTGGGGATAACTCTGCGGAATAGGCGAGTGGACTATTTTTTTTTATTCAGAATCATTCAACAACCTTTCAATTCCATATTTATTTTTATTTTTCAAGTCGATTTCATGGTCCTAAAATCATCAATAATGTCACCGTAATTTTCAAACGGATAGAAATTTACCGCGAATAACAACCGATGTCACGATTCTGGAAGTAGGGGCAGGTGAAAGCATAGTTGCTCAAATATGTATTGGTAATATTCTTAATTAGCTATGAAAAATCCTTTGTCTCAAGATGTTCCCTCTTATCTGTTGTTGCTTATTGCTTATGATGAATTTGTGTTGATAATAATCATATTAATTCAAACTAGAGGACATTTGGTACGGTAAACGTGATAACACAGGATTGTAAGCGTTGTCTTGTCAGTTCTCAGCATACAGCACAGCATTGCCAAGTTCCTAGCCAACAATTACATGATGTTCTGTTATGGAAGATAAGAAATGCCTATTTCAACAAGCTGGTTGCTCAAAAAAGTCACAAATGAATTATTATAATATCGTGGCTTCCTCCTATCACGTCAAATGAAATATTTAGTTTGGATGTAGTTTTGTTCAACGACAGTATGTACAAACAATCTCCATTATTTTTTAATAGTTAATTTGTCTATGAAACCCGTTGAGAGCTGTCAGATGAGTGATTATTTCAAATGAGAATCAAATTTAAAGCATTTCAGAAAGAATAGATGATGTAATCTATTTTCATTACCCATTAATATGAGCAAAACATGTAATATTGCCATGGCTAGCAGTAACTGAATTACCAGGTTGAAAACATGATGAATAATAGTTTGTTCTGAAAATAGTAGTGCAAAAAATATGTTTCACCAACTCGAAAAAGTATGATGATTTTCATTCATTACTAAACGGATGATTTTCATTCATTACTAAACGGATGAATATTTGAATCTAGATTTCTCAGTTCAGTTCAGTTTATTCACTCAGGAAACATTTCCCTTAAGCGAAGATTGAATCACTCTCAAAGTGATAAAAAAAAACAGACGAATAAACTGTAAGTAATTCTGGACACAATGTACTTTCAAGTTTCAATTGGTTCCTTAAGTACCTATAAGGAAACGTATTTGAACTATGACAATGAAGATATTTCACTAGAACTATCATTTGAATATCTTACCTCCTTTTGTGGGTGACAAATTCTTGACACCAGCTGAGAAAATGCAGTCAGAAACACAAAAGCCGGCAACCTATCCAGATAAGAATCAATTAATTTAGTCATACTCAGCAGAGTATTTTTCCTCTCATCTTTCATAGAACTCTGGACATCTAGCAGTCTTGTTCCATAATCGAACCAAATGGAAAGAAGACGTGGCATCGATTGATATATGTAGATTGTCCCGTATTGTAGAGATTTGCCAAAGAAATTGATCATGTGCAGTTGCACTGCACTGCCTTTGGGACTGTCACGTTCCGTGTCACTATAGTTTTGAAATAATTTATCATAGTATTGTGCAAGGCATACCTGGAAGAAATCAACGTATCAATTTCATGAAATCAGCTAGCCCAACTAACTTATTACCAAGCTTTTCTCACATTCCTTGAACATTTCCACAGCTTTCCTATAGTTATGCAAATTTACATCCGCATCTACATTAGAAATTTCATCATTGTAGGTTGCTATCAATAGTTTAGCTTCTGCACAGAGTTTTCTGAAAAGGAACGTACCATATTGGCGAAAAAACATGAACAAATTGAAAAAAATGACACCCGTCGCAATAGCAACCAACATGCTCGATAGATTTGTTTCTAATTTGAAATTTTGTAACTTCTGCATAACACAGTCGATTTCAAATTTACATCAATTCCTGAATGATGGTTTCGATGGGTATCAACTGATTGAATCCTCAACCTCAATCTGGAAGGTCTCCTGTTAGAAAAGTTTTACAACAATAGTAATATTAAAACAATGATTATGTTTCTACAATCAATTGATTCACATGTTTCTAAGAAGTCAGAATGCCGTTCTTAAGATGAGTCGCCTACCTATTCAATAACACAAATAAGTAAGTAAATAAAATCAAATTTTCAGTGAAAGATTATCAATATTGAACCATGTTCATTGATAATTGAAATCATGCAGATTTACGCAAAATGTCAAAGATGCCAGCTTACTCAACTAGATTTTTTAAAATTCATATTCCATTCCCATATCACACTGAATATTAAAAAGAGGGGAGTTGAAAAACATCAGGATGGAGATTTTGATATCCAATCAGACATTTGAATAGCACAACAAGGAGGGGTACTTAATGCGTCGCTGCTGTCGTGAAGAAAGTACATAAAAATATTGACATTGTAGCATCAGTGTCATACCTTTGTTCAAGTGAAAGTGCAGGAGAATTCCCTTCTGGAATAAGTACTTCAAGACCTCTTCTCAGAGTTGTCAATGCCTGTTCATGTTCTTCCCTAAGCCAATGAAGCTTTGCCTTTTCCAAAAACAGAGTTTTGGGCGCATACTCTTCTGCCTTTACGATATATGTGTATGCTTGTTGATGCATCTGGAAGGAAGGCGATATTAAGAACACACTTCTCTTTGTGAAGTATGTTCAAACCAGGGAATTAGACTCTTTTCCTTGGTAGTTAGATAGATAAATTTATTTATACTAAGAACGAATAAAATTTGTACAAGACAAGATAAAGAGTATTGTTGTTCTAAAATTGTTCTATCCGTCATTCGGTTGCCCCCTTACGAGCAACCCTCAGAAGTCTTCGAGAGTCTTGTGCGAGCAAGGAATGACGGGGGCCTCACCTTTTAACGTGTGATCCCAAACACTTGATATGTTCACACATATACATAAATGATGAAAAAATTGACTCCCAGTAGGTAACAACAAGGAAATAAATGTTCTGTTATGTCTTCAACCCTGTAAGGTTCTGCACTGGTAAGATGTCTGTTGTGGCGTAACTTCACAGAATAGAAATAATTAAAGCCTCAATACATGGCAGCTTTGATAGTCGTAGAGCGGTCGTGGGATTTAAAAAAATATATTTTCATGTAACTTTTCAGAAGATATTATGTGAAGATGTGTAAAAAAAACTATGGGCGCCACTCAGAGTTAACTGAGGTCGAAGCATCGCGGGGTCAAAATTACACCGTCGAATTTACACACTATGAAATCAGTTTGGGCAATGATATATTAATAATAATAATTTCATTATGGTTTGACCAGTATTCTTAAGATTCGGCGAAATTAAATTAAATTTAGTCATTATTTTCACTTTTGTGCTGGATATGCTACAAGTAGGAGACATGTTATAAAATACGACAATAATTTTTCAGTACTTACTCCAGCAGATCTTGCAATTTTAGCACTTAATAGCCAACACTCTCCCAGCAAAGAATCCAAGTATGGAACAGCTCCCTGAATCTTTTCTTCTGCAATTTTTTTAGCAAGGTTCAATGATACCCTTCTCGTAGATAACAGAGGTTCTATTATACGAACTGATTCCTCCACTACCTTCAAATCAAAATATCTATCAATAGACACAACACAAAATGGCACTACAGAAGAGCTCACACAGGTTAAGTTAGTCATTAATGTATGTAGGTACATAATCGGCATATTCAAAGTCTAAAAGTCTAATATTTTTCCATCATATCCTTTCTTCAGGTTCCGTTTGTAGGAGGAATTGCTCCATAATTAATCTAACCAGATCATAAGGGCCATATTATCTTACTAATATCTTCAGTCTTGGGTTCAAGAATAAAATCATGCCCTTTATAATATGGTTGGAATAAACATATAACGTTTCTGTTTTTTCAGGTAGTAGCCTGATTTCTTTCATTCTCAAAAAACTATATTGACAAACATCAGAGATATTGATCAGGTCTGGAAAAAATGTAATTGATATTAGCCTAAAATTGAATGGTTTTTGTATGGTTAAATACAGAAAGCAAGGACAAATGAGAATAAGAAAGTTCGGGTAGATCCGTAGTCCGTAGTCCTGAATAACTTGTTGTGACATCAATTAGACAAATCCTGAATTTTAATTTAATTTTAAATTTCAACTCAATGAATAAAATCAACAAACTGCTACATGTCTTTCTTGTTCCGCATTATGATGAATTTCCCTTTTTCAGTTGCTCAAAACATAGCTTCATCAAGACATCCATTTCAAGGAACATTTCAACAAAACCGGAAGTTGAACAGGCTGAACTATTCATACCTTGATCCTCAATGTCCACTCATTCATCATCTTTTTCATCAGGTTTTCGGCATACTGTTTATCGTTAGGCTTCAGCAAAAGTTCGGACACGACTTTTTCAACTTGCTGTAGTTCGTTCAGAGCATGCAGTTTCGATACGTAGCCATAGCCGTGTTGATAAGCGCCTTCTTCTAGACTAGCAGCGCTAAACGACATCACCTGTTGTCTCATCAAACCATTCAGAGTGGTTTGGAATTCCTCTCTTTCACCTGAAAAGTCATGTTGAGGCATTGTTCGCCGACGAAAACTTCCTGGTATCAATATAATATCATAAAATACAGAACCTGATGATATCAGAATGATTCATAAACATATTCCCATGGAAGCGATGGAGACACCTTATCATATCATGCTACACTGTTTGAAGAATTGGTCCAGTGAAATAGTATCTTCGGCATATATGTACAGTACATCCCAGTTAAGAATGAAGTGTGTAATAAGATAGGCACTGTTTGACCTTACTTATCATTGGTCTAGACTAGAGTTCCTGAATGTACTTGACACTGCTGTTTTGACGTGTTTTGTATATTAGAGTACGGACACTATGACAAGCACTGACAATCAGACATAACCACAAATAAATTGATAGAAAAAGCGGGAACTGGCAGTACACGGACGTACATCATGACATAAATAAACATAAAAGGTTTGACAAATTGAGAGAATTAGGAGAAAGATGCAAGTTTGTGCAGTTTCGAACTGAGAGAACACGGGAAATCAATTCACTCTATTCGAATTTCCATCGGATAACGTGATTCTACAAAAATGGAAACAGAATATGATGCGGCTGGCATGGAATATAGGTTCAGGCCACAAAATTTGCGAGGTATTCGAATTTCTTGGTAGGATATAGAACATTTTTCAACGCATTTTCATCAGGTACACTCCAGAAAGGAATATTTGATGTTGAGAGAAAGAGCCGAACCCACAATTTATAAACTGAGCGAGTATCGAAAAGAACCTTATTCCAATTTAGAACCAACAAGGAACGCACGATGTTCTCTGAACATTATAGGGATTCCCTTTCGTGCGCTCCAAGCGATAAAAAAAAATAATAAAAAAAAATAAGTTAAAGCAAAAGGATTTAGATACTAAAGTCAGATTTGAAACAAAATCAGCAAATAACTTCGGAGAAATACAAGAAAATTGAACAAGCAAATATCTAGACAATTTTGAGCAAAATTCATAGTTTTGATGAAAAACTTTTGCATTTGAAAAACCGAATGGAAGATTTGAATAACAAATTGAATAATATTAGTAAAAATTATGCTCTATATGAGCATGGTCATGTTCATTTATTAATTACTTATTACCTACCACTCTTGTACAAGTGAAATTGTTGCATAGGAAATGAAAATATGTTTCATTGGTTGAAGTTTATCAGTTTTTACCCCATTCTGAACTTTCGTGATGAAAAATATTCAACTGAAAGTATATATATATACCTACATATAAGAGATTTCTTTTATAGGAATAGTATATGTATTTCATTGGTATATATGTACATACCAACTTGATATCGACCTCCATTGAGGTCCTTCAGCCTTATCATTGAATATTTCGAGGAGAAATAATTTTCTAATCAATTTATCGTCATCCGTCTCTCTGGATGTAACTATTCAGACGAGTACTTGGTGTAAGACACTGCCGTGTCTCTGGATATAAAAAAAAAGAATTGTGAAGTTATTCGAAGGAAAAACGAACATTAGAATTTTTGGTGAGGGATCTCTTTGAATTTTTTGTGGCATCATTCACCATTTTATTTGAGAAAAAATCAGGATAATGGAACAAAACTATCAAATTATACTATTTTCATCGGTTCAAAATCACGTTCGAAGATTCCATTACATGTAAATATAAAAAACATACAAACCAAGCTAATAAGAGCGTGGTAATAAATATATCATAAGATGTCCTTCTAGTTGTCATCGAAATATTTCATGAGGTCATTCTCATCTCGAGATAATGCTTACATACCAGTTTTGAAATGTATCAACGCTTTTCCGACTTGAGCACCCCAGCTTTTGTTCCCAAGCATATCCGGCTTCTCCAGTAAACAGCCGAGTTCGTCATATTGGCCTAGACGCCATAGCGGTTCGGCTTGCATTTCGAGGAGCATATTGCCAAAATCAGGCTGACTGTGTAACGCCCCTTTAACGAAATTCAGAGCAGTGTTGACATTGTCCAGATCTAGATAGCACTGTACCAAACCCTATGAAAAAATTATACAGGTTGTTTATCGTATCGTTATATACAGGGTGTCCCTAGACCAGTGGGACAGTTGAATATCTTCTGAACCAATAGGAATTTTCAAAATATTATAATTTCACATCATATCGCATTATGAGTGCTAATTTCAGGAATGACTATATTTTCTACGAGGGGCGCAAGAAAGGCTCACAAAATCGAACATCAATTTTTTCAAATGGAACACCATATTCATTATTGGTCAAAACGGCTAACATGTCCATACCTTAACTTTTGATTTATTATACTATTCACTCGTATTTGATTGAAACAAATACAGGGTGGTGTAGAATTCTCAGTTTCAGTCAGAATTCTACACCACCCTGTATTTGTTTCAATTAAATACGAGTAAATAGTAAATCAAAAGTTAAGACATGGACATGTAAGCCATTTTGACCAATAATGAATAGTTTTGACACGAAAAATTCCCAAAAATGAAAAATCTCGATTTTCCACACCCTATATCTCGGAAATCATTCCCGCTAGACCCCAAGTGTGCTGGGTCGTTGAATTCAGCTCTTCAGGGAGAATATGAAAATGCAATGAAATACAGGGTGTTTCATTTGAAAAAATTGATGTTCGATTTTGTGAGCCTTTCTTGCGCCCCTCGTAGAAAATATAGTCATTCCTGAAATTAGCACTCATAATGCATTATGATATGAAATTATAATAATTTGAAAATTCCTATTGGTTCAGGAGATATTCAACTGTCCCACTGGTCTAGGGACACCCTGTATACGGCATTTGGATAGCAACATCGCGAGAACTACTGCGGCTATCGCACATCTTCGCTAAAGTCTCCTCGGTCTTCTCTAGTCTCAGACACTGTCTCCGCCAACTACCGCAACCGTTATGCTCCGTAGCTGGCAATGTTGCCAAATGCCATTATTTTTTATACTCCTATACAGGGTGTATCTATATAACACCGAAAAAATTCAAGGGGTGTTCATATAAACATGTGTCCTAACTTGATCCGTTTTTGAGATACAGGATGTTGAAGTTGGAAGTATTAATTGTTTTTATTTATAGCCCCTCTGTATAAGCTTCCATGGTGCCAAAATTCAGTGTGGATGGAGACTGAGAAAGCCCCAAAATTTCAAAATGATTCTAAATGGGGTTATTGATTTTGGCGTATCAGTTGTAGGAAGAACTGTACGCCTTTTTGAATAGTCTTTTTGTGAGGATATTTGATAGTTGTGGCAATGCCGAACACTATGATGGTTGAATCATATATTGTAGAGTGAATGTAAATCCGAAGTGCTGTTTATACGAATGCCAACTGTATTACCGATAAGATTGAGATTTACGACTGTTCACTCTGAAGATTCAAGAATAACTGATTTTATTAAATTGTTTATTGAGCTAGAAAGGTAGGTCTCTATAAGCTTTACCGAGAATAATAATTAGAGGGCTCGAATTAGGGTATTACCATCCTATAGCCAGATGGTCATGAAAGATCAATGTTGTGAATATACAATAAGTATAGTTATCATTTCGTAGAGAGGTAGAAAAAACCCTTATCGGGAAAAACCCAACACTTCGGATGATGAAATATGTACAGAGTATAAAATGTAATATGGTACACAGGAAAGTTAATTGAATATACAAATATATACACGAGTGGGAAAATTCCCCACATGATTAATCTCAATGAAAGTCTTGAAAACACCTACATTAAAATTTGGAGTCAAATCGAATTTTTATTGTTTCCTCAAAAACTAAGCTAGATACAAAAATCACACAAAGGATAAAAAAGTTGTTATTACAATAGTTGAGTTATTACAATAGTTACATCTTATAAATATATGAAGCTCAGAGAAACCGGTGGTGTACAATGACATTCACCATGAATATCGATGAATTCACCCACTGTGACGCCACTGGAAATATTATTTCGAATCTAATTACACTAGAAGAAGCTTCATATTACTATTAACAAAACCACAACGTTTTATTGAAATTGGTGAAAAGACAATTGAGAAATGACTAGAAAAAAGAATTTTCATGGAAATATCAATACCCTGTATCTAAACGAAGCAAGTTAGGACACATGTTTATATGAACTTTATTTCCTACAATATCACAAGGAATCACCCCTTAAATTTTTTCGATGTTATTCAGATACACCCCTGTATAACAATTCGATAAACAACCTATATATTAAAACAGGCGCGGGTCTAGGAAAAATTGGTGGATGTAGGAGGAAGTTGAATATTCGTTTAATTTATACCAAAAATTAATTTTCGTAACTTCAAGGAAGTTCCTAGAACATTTTGCAAAATGTGGAAAAAGAATCCCTGCATATTGTCACGAGTAGAACATACGGTATATCAGTAATTTCGAACCATGAGGGTTTTATAAACATAAAGTAAATCAAATCATCCGTTGACAATCCGCATACACACCGAAAATCACGAACTAATTCAGGACCTACGACATCTGGTAATCTCATCGTCAAAACGCCGCTACGCTCGCCTAGGTCATTATGATGCAGACAGCCGGCCGATCGGTGGTTTCTTGTCTCGACGCATCGCCTACAGATTCCCCGCTTCAAGTTTAAATTCTCGCGTATACGCGTCATACCTTGGGGCGCCTTGGGTGCGGCCACGCTTGCAGTAGTTGCAGTAAAAATTACTGATTTTTGAATTTGCAATTTTTCAGTAATTCATAATTCAACATATCCATCTAATATTGGAATCAGCATTTTCCATCAGTGCTTCTGAGCGTCAATAAGTTATAATTCAATTTGAATATTGTAATGTAACCTACTGTGCCTCTGCCTATGTAGGTAATATGGCAAGAAACATGTCAGCAGTCCAAGAGCTGAGTAGGTATTAAAACATCGTAAAAAAGCTCTGGTGACGAAAATGTAATAAATGTATAACTTCCAGAATATCATTTACTTTCAAAGACGCATGTAGCGGTTATACCTAAATAATATTTATGCATCCATCGCGAGAAACATTATACCTACGGCTGCGGCTGCACGCGGACTCGGCCAGCCGACTACGAAGGAGTGGGGTGGCTTGTTACAGGAACGGCGTAGACACTGTAGACAGATTAGTCATTGTTGTGCTTTTCGCGTTAGGTGAGGTGGTTGTCGTTTGAAAATATTGTTTATTCGGGCTTCAGATTGAGCAGAAAATATAAAAATAGGCATGGCTAACGTAAGAGAGGTAGTTACTAACAACGGTGATTTGGTAAGCCATTTATTATGCCATAAATTCGCCAGTTTGTCCAACGATGATAAGGTTTTAATCAAACAGTTGCAGATTCCTAGACCACCGATGGTTAATCTTGTGCAAAGAAAAGCTGGTCATAATCGCGCATTTTCGAAAACACTCTACGACAAATACGTTTGGCTAACTGGCAGTGAGACTAATAATAAATTATTTTGTTGGTATTGCATACTTTTCACGGAAATTAGAAGTCCTTTCAACTCGACCGGTTATGACAATTTGAAAGAAATCCATCGCGCTCTAGCTAAACATGAAATTTCGAAGGAACATACACATTCGGCGTTGAAGTTTAAATTATTCGGGAAACAAAACATTGTAAATTCGTTGGACAGTGTGCGTCCAGAATTAATCAATAAATACAATGAATCGGTTCGCGAAAATCGCAAAATGATTAAGCATTTGATAAATATGATTATTTTTCTGTCCACGCAGGAACTGGCATTTCGGGGTAACGATAAAACAGTAGGGTCTGACAATCAGGGAAATTTTAAAGAATTGGCAAAATTTGGGGCAACCTTAGATGAAAGTTTCAATAAATTCATACATCCATCGCAATCATCCGTTTTTACCGGACTATCTAAAACCATCCAAAATGAATTGATTGATTCTGTTAAAAAAATTGTTATGGAAAAAATTCACACCGAAATCAATGAAGCATCGTGCTTTTCCTGGGAAATTGACGAGACTACGGATATTTCCTGTTTCTGCCAGATGTCTGTAATTTTTCGTTTCGTTCTCAATGGAAAAGTTATGGAACGTTTTCTTGGTTTTTTAAATGTTAGCGAGGGTAAGACTGCAAGTGATATTTTCAACGTATTGACGCAAAATTTTGGACAATTCAATATAGAAACTAAATTAATCGGTCAAACCTATGATGGTGCAGCGGTAATGGCAGGAGAACTGAATGGATTACAAGGAAAAATTAAATCAATTGCTCCTCAAGCACTATTTACACATTGTTATGCGCATAAATTGAATCTAGTACTTCAAGATTCATCTAAAAAAATTAAAGAATGTAGAATATTCTTCTCTAACTTATCGGGATTTTCGGCTTTTTTCACAAAATCAACTAAACGTACTAATCTTCTTGATAGGATTTGTAAAAAACGACTACCAAGTAATTCAGAAACACGTTGGAACTTCAAATCACGGGCAGTAAATATTCTGAGCGATAATAGAACGAATTTAATTGAAGTTTTCGACTACATAATTGAACATCTAGACCAGTGGGATGACATTTCAATATGGGAATCGACCAGACTTAAAAAATTATTAACAGATTTTCTATTCGTGTTCTTACTTCTCACTTTCAATTTAATTTTCACTTATACCGACCCAGTGTTTGCTATCATTCAAAATAGATTTTCTTATATTACTTACTGCAATGAAAGAATTATGTCACTTTTAAATACTTTGAAACAATTCAGAACTGACCAAAGTTATTTTACAAATATATATTCGAAAGCTAGAGATATTGCGGATATTATTCCTCCCAGTACTAAACGGCGTAAAATTTCAGATTTGAGCGACAATTCATCGACTATGAAACGATTATTTCTAGAAATTTTAGATTTAATCATTAACCAAATTGAAATAAGATTCAAAGACATTTCATCTCTCAACTTTTTAGAATTGACAAATTTTTCTAAATTTGATGCTTTCAACCACAATTTCCCAGATATTCAATTCAACTCTTTAATTCGTAACTACCGGGGATTCTTCAATA